GCACACGGAGCTTGGGGGGCTGCCCCACAGATGTGGAGACCCCTAAAGTGAACCCAGAGCCCACAAAGGACAAGGGGACCCCAAGAACCCAACCCTGGGTGGGGGGGGGGGGGGGACATGGACCCCTCCAAAAACGGGGGGCTGGTCACCCCCCAAGGACCCCCCCCAGCCCCACAGGAGAGAGGGAGCTCCCCCAGCCCAGGGGGAGGAGCGAGACCCCAGAGGTACCCCGAGACCCCCCTAGGTACCTCCGAGGGTCCCCCCAAGACCCCAAACGCCGCCCCCCGAGCCCCCCACTCACTCCTGGATGACGGTGGCCGTGTCGGCCCAGGCCTGCAGCGCCTCCTTGACGTTCTTGTTGCGGCAGTGGAAGCCGGCCAGGTACAGGTAGGGGTAGATGTGCTCGTTGTTGTAGTAGGTGCGGGCAGAGTGGATGCCCTGGGGCGGCAGGGCGGGGTCAGCAACACCTGAGCTCACCTGGCCACGCCCCCGAGCCCCCCAAAAACCAAAAACCCCCCCCCCCCAGGTCACCTGGTGGTACAGGGTGAGGGGGTCGGGTCGGCCGGGGGTGGGCTCCAGCTCCTCCAGGTCGGCCAAGTTCCCCAGCGCCATGGGGTACCTGTGGGGCAGGTGGGGGGCGGTTTGGGGGGTACCTGTGGGGCGGGCGGGGGGCAGGTCGGGGGGTCCCAGGGCAGCCTGGGGGGCAGCCCCGTGGTGGGGCGGGGGCTCCTCTCACCTGTCCAGGTGCCCCATGTCGTAGAGCAGCCAGAGCAGGCGCTGCGGGGAGAGGAAGGAGAGATGTGGGGGTGCCCCACAGCTGAGCTGGCACTGCCCCACACCTGAGCCACACCTGAGCCAGCCCTGCCCCACAGCTGCCCCACACCTGCTGCAGCTGCAGCAGCTCCAGGCTGTCGGTGTGGCCGTCGATGGACGGGTTGATGGCGCACACCATGAACGCCACCTCCATGTGCCGCGTGCAGCGCAGGTAGGAGCCCTTCAGGTACAGCCAGCTCTGGGGACAGG